GTAGCTTCTTGCTCCTAGTAGTAAGGCCAGGAGCCCCTAGTAGCGTCCTTGTTCCTACTAGTGATGCCCTTTGTTCCTAGTAGCTTCTTGCTCCTAGTAGTATGGCCAGGAGCCCCTAGTAGCGCCGTCGCTCCTAGTAGCGATGCCCTTTGTTCCTAGTAGCGTCCTAGTGTTTGTAGCTTCATTGTTATCCACATTCTACTTTTTGTCAACTGTCAATCTTAAGTACCTTGCGGGACCTTAACTTTGCTCACTTTGGTGTTCTTCATTCTGCTTTGGCCTGCGTTTAGCTGCTATGTATTTGTGTGTGTGTTCAAACATCTTCAGAGGTCGTTGAAACATCATCCTATTGGCAATATTGTTTACTTCGTGCTGCAGACACCCGTACTACACAAGCTGGAGAACAAATGCCTGTGTCAACATTTACTGCATTGACACCTGTTACTCTACAACCTGTTACTGCCCGGAACATTGTACAACACTTGTAGTGTTAACGCTGCACGATATCGCTTGCAAGCTGCTGCTTTCACCCTGCTATTTGTCACCAACAACTCTTTCTGGCCTTTCTTCACTTAAAGCAATGTGAAATCGTGTGAAATCTAGATTCGTACTCGAAGCCGGTCTTGAAGATTGACAACGACTTTGGCTTGTCAGCGAATTGCAGATTGTTCGCTCTTCCTGTCACATATTTGAACTTGTGTGGGTTTCTTCGTGCTGTTTCTTTCTCAAGTCGATTGGACAAGCCTACCCTTGGATGAACTTGTGGGAACGTTCAATTGGGGTCTTCAAGTGCCAACCATCTTTGGACTGCCACGCCAAGCATGTTCAATCTTTGTGCGGTTTTGAAGTTTTTTGTCAGTCAGCCCTCTGGGTTTTGGCCGCAGCCTATACGAGTGAAGTGAAATTTCCCCACAGATCTAGGAAACTAGTGCGAGGGCTTCTTCAAGCAAGCTCCCTCTGACCTCAGGCCCTCAGGCACAAGCGGCGACCACACTGGACAGGCGCCCGACCATCCCCCACGCAGGCCTCCAAGCGAGCCGAGGGCGTTCGCACGGCAGAGCGCCACTACAGTGCTGGCTTCGGGAGGTGGGGACGGGGAAAGGGTATTTCTAGGGTGATCAAAGGTATTTCTTGCGAAATCAGAAATAGACAGATAATCAAGCCAACTGTATTGTGCTCCAAATAGTATCAAATAGTTTGAAGAAGGTATAAGCCTGCAAGCGGATGTGTGCTGGTTGCTTCCAAGATTGTTGGTACTCTTTTGTACAGGGCCACTGTTGTGATAGAAGACTGTTACAGTTGCTTGTATGGTTTCGGTTTCCATTGTTTTTAATACAGTTGCCCATGAACTATACCTACCAATGCCAGCATCAGTGTGCACCGGTAGGGTACTTGAAGCTTGCGCTCTGCACTGTTTGTCCAGTTTTCGGGATAGAAGCACATCAAAGAAAAATGCTCCAAGGCCCTTGGTGTAGTAAGGCCAGGAGCCCCTAGTAGCTTCTTGTTACTAGTAGCGATGCCAGGAGCCCCTACTAGCGTCTTTGGTTTAGCCGCTTATCCCTTATGTTGGTCGATGAATGGGGCCAAAGTTGTAAGGACATTGTGAGCGACCCTTGGCCGGACATGAACCGCCCTCGCGGAGCTGGATCAAATACAAGAATGGATTTCCAATTTCAATGGATGACATGGAACCATGGCAAACCAGTTTCACCAGCGTCACTCCTCTACATGTTCATGAAACCCTTGAGACCTCTTGAACTATTATCAGAATCATAACTTGTGAGCATAGGAGTCCAATGATTTGTGCCCCCCCTGTTTACAAGATCATTAAGATAATTGGGGAACCAATTGCAAACAGCATGGATTGTTAGCATCCAATCCTATGGTAGCTATCTCTCCTCTCCAACTCTGCAATTTAAGGCCTTTGGATCTCAAAGGTGTCACCCCATTTGGATTGGTTGTGAGCGTTTGCCAATGGCCTCGCCACAGGAGTGCCGAACCCAGATTCCAGCTGTGATGTTGTCTTTAAGTGGAGCGTGTGACAACTGAGAAAGGGGGAATTCTTTGGCTGCAAGCTGTGTCAACGCTTTCAGCACCAAGGACCACCCGACCACAGCCTTCATTTGGGGGACATGCGAGCCAGCTTTGGGGGGAAATGTAGATCAATCTCGCCACAGCATGTGCTCCTTTAAGTAATGTTCAGAGTGTTCTTATTAGTCATAACAAAGGGTAGTGACGTCCGAACATAGTAGTGGGTGCATTTGGAAGAGCAAATGCTTTTGATGTTTAAACTAGCAAGGGTATTCAAGGATAGTGAAATCCATGCACGACGTGGCCTTTGATCAATCCTACCATAGACAAGTCAGACAAAGGCTTCTTCATAATTGCCCTTGCTGATTACTTTATATAAGTGTTTGGAGCTTTGCACATTGGCATGCGTAGGCACCATTTGCACCTGTTTCTTTGCTGTATAAGGAAAGCTGTGGCAGCCTTTGCCCATGCTACTGGAGATATTGAGGCATGGACTACTGGTGGCAGTAGTTCCTGGTGCATTGCTTTGTGCCCCTGTTGCCTTGAACCAACAAGGGCTTGCCGTGAGAAGGAGTATTGCAGCTTTCATTCAACACCCGCTAGGTCAATATAGATGCTGTGAAGCAGTAATCATATAATATACGTTAACATATTGTAATTATGTATGTATATATATATACATACATATCATCCAGCCCATGTTCTATTTTGTGTATCAGATCATGCAGGAGCACCGAGTACCCGTTTACCTACTGTACATGTTTGCTGGAGGCAAGGCAGCCGGGTGAGGTGAACATATTCGATTTGAGCCTGGTTGCCAGAACCTCAGAACCCCAGAGATTGGAGCTGGTCAAAGACATTAAGGCACCTTAAATCATGCGGTTGGCGGCAGACATCTCATTTGGGCCAAGATGTGCAAAGATGTTTTGCCTTTCATCTCAATGCTTTGCATTCTTAAGGTTTGTTCTTCATCTAGTGTCCTTTCCGCTTTGAATGTTCAACTTTGAAGCTTGCACTTCTCCGCTTGTGTGATCTGGGGAAGCCTGGAGGCTCGATAGTGTTCTCAGCAAACACCTTCCATTCCTTGATGAGTTTTTTCAACAAAGAAAACAATCATGTAACATAAAAATGTGTTTACAAATAGAAGCACTTTCAATGTCCCTTCTTTGGAGCCGGAATTGATCATGCGTCAATGCATGGCTGCAAAGGGCAGCAGGTTTTCCTGACTTTGTGGTGCCATGTGCTTCCCTCCGCCAGGTCAAGGGAACCCGGAAGAATGACCAGCCACGGAAGGCAAAGTTTAGATGCACATGTTTTGTCGTTTTGTGTGGACAAAAAATTGAATGCGCTATTTGCACTCTCAGGTTTCCTCTGGATATTCGTAAACCCTCACAGTAGGAGTTGAATGGCGAAACTGGCCACGTGCGCTTGCAGATATTGTCCAACGTGAGCTGCAACTTTCCTCCGGGAAGGCCTCACAGTGTGTCACCGCTTTCTGCGTCACAGTGTTGCTATTTATAATCTACAACTAACTATATATATAGTATTCCTGCACCAACAACACAGAATAGGCCTCAGGACGCTATCCACAGACCTTGCCTTTGTACATGCCAAGTTCGATGTTGCCGCAGATAGGTTGCTACCATAGAACATTGTTTCAATTACTGCCAGAGGTTTTGTGTGGGCACTGCATAGCCGCATAATGAATTCTACTATGCTCGAACCCCAGCCTTTATTCTTGAAATCACCCTGCGGCTCCTGGGCTGTTGTTTTGAATCATTTTTTGCCATCCCAGCTGGATCAGCATCAAGGAAAAGAATGTCCAACAGGTCTCAACTCAATCCATTTAGGAACAAGAACGCTACTAGGGGCTCCTGGCCTTACTACTAGGAGCAAGGACGCTACTAGGGGCTCCTGGCATCGCTACTAGTAGCACGAAGCTACTAAGAGTAAAGGGCATCGCTACTACGTAGAATCATTCCGGTCCTTCGGATTCGCTTGGAACGATGGCCTCCAACCTAAGAGTGATGGCCTCCAACCTAATAGCGATGGCCTCCATTGCAACACACCGGTATATGCCGGTAATTGCATCAATGCGATTGTTGGAATCCTTGTGGTGTTATTTCTTGCAAGGCTGTCGGCAGTTATGGGTGCCAGCGGCTCTGGCAAGACGTGTTCAGCTTAGAATCGGCTTGGAACTGACTTGCCAGTGACTTGGATGGCTGGCCGTGAAATGATGGAGAAAAAAAAGTGTTTAGGTCTTTTGGTCGTACATCAAAAGCTGCAGGTCAGGTCAGTCGAGGATGATCAAAGTTTGATTTTTACTGAATCAACATCCACATCATTTGTATCATTTGTCAACTGCAGAGATTGATAGGCCTGAAAGTGAGTTTCACCAGGTACGTTG